TTATCTCGCTTGCATCTCTTGAAACAAAATCTTTTAATTTCTTCATAAACATGAAGGTTTGGGAGTAATTGTCTTTAGAAAAATAAGCCAGTGTCCGTCAGATCATTACAGGATATTTATGTTCATGGGAAGGCAGACTTTGTAGAAAGGCAAGAAGCTGAAACCGAATATTTTAGAACTCTGTGTGACAAGTCGCCCAATAATCAAACGCTCCTAACTGTGTGTCTCATGTTGTCTTGGTTACAGAAGCTGTATATTGTCTGTGATGTTGCTCTCTTCGTTATCGCCAACAAGAGCACTGCGTGTCACCTGGACTTTCCCAAAGACCCCGTCCTACCCTCTAAGTTCTTCATCGTACAGGACAAGGCAATAAACACACACACACACGTAGATGATGTATTTATGCTTCTTGGATTGGAAAATCGTTTGAAAACAAACACCTATCAGACACCCTTTTCCTCTCCTCTTTGAAATTTTCAGTGAGGATACATTTTTTTCTCTCACTCTTCTTAAAGGTGCTCAATACAAAATTCAGAGCATCTCTATTGCCTCCACATGGCGATCGTGCTAACAGTGTTTATCCAAAGGCTAACCGTGAAGACGCTGTCCCGACACGTTATCAGTTGTTACCGCCGTGTGATTACAGTGCAGAGTGGCGGCCGTTGGTAGTCTGACAAATATTCACGAAACAAATGTCACTGTCACATAACTCTTCAAACACAATGCACAAATGCATGCAGAGTGATTGTATCTAAATATCTGATGGCAGTAATGCAACATTCATGGATGCCACAGAGAAAACCAAATGTATAACTGACAACTATGCTTATAGCTGGTTACGTACAAGCAACAGCTTACATGCATTATAGCAAATTATTAAACGCACAGACAAGTGGGCTGCAGGCCGATGACCACTTACTTAGTGGTGTTTTGTTTATGTTGTGAATGATGCATCACACTTCAGATGTCCATCCTGTCTGTAGCTCTTTTCACCACTACATGGTTAGTTGTGCTCTGTGCACAAGAGGACATGTTTTCACACTTGGCTGGTTTCAACTTTTTAAGTGAGCTCAGGGTGATTAATCAGTATCATATAAGCTATGACGTTGATCTACCCTACTTACTCATCAATGACCAGGATTATGGACTATATGGCTATATTAATGCTCTGAATATCGTATAGAGGAACTTTAAGAATGACTTCTATCTACTGAATATGCACACATGCACACTCGTTTCAGATTAATGACAAAGTCATGACCTTTGTTCCGTAGAAGTTTAATACTAATCAAAGTTTTCTGGCGTGATTTTATTTTTACAGGACTTCAAGAATGATAAAGAGTATCTGTCGACAGAGATGAGACAAATGCTGCTCTCTGGAAAGGTAAACGCTGTCATCAACACTCCACATAAAAGTGAATAATGCTCAACACAGTGCAGAGATGCAGAATACATAAATATGTAAACACTTGCATTTATTATTTTGGAAGGGGGAAATTATTGTAAGTTCAGAAACATCTGTATTTTAATATTTGTATTCTCGGTAGTAAAATGCTTTCGTCATCAGCCCTTGTAGAATGAATTTAAAGAGTGAAGGGCAAAGATGCACGTATTAGCAAAGGTGAGCCGAGAGAGATATGATATATATATATATAGAGATGGATTACTTCCACGATGATTATGTCATGTGTAAAAAGAAATAAACTATCAAATGCTCACCAGACTAATACCATTAACTCCACCCGTTCTTTACTCAGCCTAAACCAACCCCAGTGTTGGGAGCTGTGAACAAGCCTCTGACGGTACCAGGGAGGAGGGTCTTCAACAAGACCACCACAGGCTCAGACACAGCCAGTAACACCAGCACCAACTCCTCCCTACTGAGCCCCTCGGCTATCAACAAGAACAGGTACAGACGCAATACACACACACTCGCACACGCACTTAGAAAAATGCTTTACTCAACTTTTTAAACGTGTCTTGTAGTAACAGCAACGTCGCCACTGAGTCATCAGAGAGCCGAGCGCAGGAAAACAACGAGAACCCGGTCATCAAGAACGAAGAGGGGAGTAAGGTAAGCGCACAGGGGACAACCTTATGTCTGCTGGAAGCACACTACAGCATTAGGCGCCGTTATCTTGACCGAGCTGTCCCCGCCGTCTCTCTCAGGAGGAGCCAAGTCAGAACGTGACCCCCGACGACGAAACGGAGGCGTCGCCCGTCAAGCGGCGTGGCCGCCCGCCCAAATCCGCCACACCCGCCGCACCCGCTCCTGCCGAAAAAGAGGGAACGCCGGCGCCAACCGGAGGCGGAGCGGGGAGGAGCAGGAAGAGGGTGGCTGACCCCAACTCCAACCCGTCAGCAGAGTCCATCAACATCAAGATGTCGAAACAGCAGCAGCAGAACGACGAAGGGACGAAGAGACAGATTGACTTGCAGAGGTGAGAAGGGAGACGACGAAAGAGGAAACGTGCGACAGAAAGTGGCTTAAAATGGAATTAACCTTAGTGGCTTGGCTTATCGTAGCTTTGGCAGATAAATGACGAGATAGGAAATTTACTTTATTTTCCTCTTCAGGTGGCCGTATGTGAGCAGTGAGAATGAGAAAGTGGGAGCCTGGAGAGGAGACAGGGAGAGTTGTAGGGACAGGGGCCCTTCTCCTGGGCAGCGAGGGAGACACCGAGATAGAGCTGGATTCCAGTCCAGAGGGCCCTCTCTGTGGCAGGAAGGACGCAGAGAGAGGCCCCCTCACACAGGGGCAGAGCAGCCGGACAGCCTGGTCAGACACAGATATCCAGGGAGATACCAAACCTGCAGGGAGGGGAGTTCCTTCTGGAAGGCAGGGAGAGCCCCACCGTGTGCTGGCAGTGAGTTGGTTTAGTCCAGGGATGTCTGGGCTATCCAGGACTGTCTAGATCAGGGGTAGGCTAACGTCACCTAACCATGCATGTTATGTGTTAGTTTATAAAGAGGTAGCTACAGAGCTGTTGAAGTCTCTCCTTTATCTTAGGGTGCTTTCACACCTGTAGCTAATCATTTGGCCCGGACAGATCACACTGACTTTAAAAAAAATTAAATTTAAAAACATGAAGTTATATAGACAGACAGACAAGTCGTTGATTGGACAGTTTTGCAGTTTCCTGCATCATCAGGACCCACGAGGGGAAAGCAAATTCTGGTGGCAGAAATTCATATTTTTGATGTGTATATTGTGTTATTTTGTGTCACAAAGAGAAAACCGTATTCTAAGCATTATTGGACAACAGATTGACCCCATGTTATGAATAAACCGGTAGAGCACTCACAGGTGACCGGTGCGAACATCGGGGCTCGATGATTCAGGGCTTATTCCTGCAGTGACAGACGGGGTGTGCTGTCACTTCTTAATGGACTTAATGAACTTACAATGTACACAGAGTCGGATACAATTTGACTTGTTGATTTGCAGGAATAGGATATACATGGCCTCATACCGATCAATAAAATCGCTTTCTGAACAAATTTGATGTTCATCAGATGGATTTATTAGTAGCTTTTTTAAATCATGCTAAACTCACCCTTCTGCCGGTTGGTTTGGTTTGCCTTCACACCCCAAACGAACCGCGCCAGACTCGTCAACACCAAGGTTCGGTTCACAGCTTTCGCAGCTTTTACAACCTGGGTGAAGTGTGAAAAAGCAGCCCAATTCTACAGAAGTTAACTACTTTTAAGGAAATTCACCGTGTTTTAAAACCGAATCTTCAAGCACCCAGCTACAGATAATTAGGTCACTGTGACAGCCAGGTAATCAGAGGTGACTGCTCTGACTCTGAACTTTGTTCTCTTTCAGATAAAGAGGAAACCAGCGAAGATGAAATCCAGACTGTAGAGAATCGGGCCAGACTCTTCCTCGTACCTCCCCAGCCCTGCGTACACGCTCCTCTGACTCTAAAGCTTTCCTGGACACATTGTGGACCTTTCTTAAAACACACATGTACACTCACACACACACACAGACAGACACAAACCACTGACATCCTAGAAGGTTCTAAATACCTTGTAGTCATGATTTGAAGCTCATTGTATGTAGGTCTTACTAAAAACAAAAAAAAACATGTTATTTTTTTTTTTTTGCCTTTGTGTTTGTTGCTCTTTGCTTCTTTTGTGGAGCCATTTTTAAGAAAACAAAAACAGGATGGACATTTTACAAACATTTTAATCTGGTAATGATCGTTGCTTATTAAATTACCTGGGGGAAAAAAAACCTACTGTATGTCTCCTGACCTCTTCCTCGTGTCGAACAATATTTTCATTTCAGCTCACCGTTTCTTTCTTAAACAGCTGTATTTTGTAAATACCCACCTTTGCAGTTTTGAATATCCAAGACAAATGGCAACTATGGGAACATCATAGCATAAGATTTGTGCATTTAAGAGATGTACCAACACCAAACTTTTATAAACTTTGGTATGTTAAGGTTTCTAACTTGGTTATAGCGGCACACGGCCTGGTAGAAGCCCTGTGGCCTCTTCTCTGCCCCTGTAACGCTTTTTAATCGGCCGTTTGATTTATTCCCAGTGTGTTCATGGACTAATTGAAGCGGTCAAACATTTCTGGGTACAGTGCTGGGTTTGAAAGACAGTTTTTTTTTTTCTTTTTTTTTTTACTGCTGAAGTATGAAACCGTACTTCACCTTGGAATGCATAAATGATATATTACTATACAAGTACGTGTTCAGGTTTTTGTTCATCTTTTACAATGAATTATTTTTTTGTACTATTGTCAATTTCTTTGCTGGGTAACGCCTACTGTTGAGCATTGTGAGTGGAAACCTCACGGGTTATGTTGATGACAACTTATTTTTTGATGTAGTTTAAAGTATGCCTATTCTCATGACCATATTTAACTTTTTTTTTTCCAGAAAATAAAATCTTTTTAGATGTTACCAGTGCTTTTGTCTTGATCGCCGTGTCTCTGGAGCGCAGGTATCAGAAGCCAAGAGACTTGACAAGAATCCAACGTGAGTTTCCAGTTTGTTTTTTTTAATCAAAGAAACATGACACTGTCACAATAAATAACCATGCTTTTTATACTGCTGATGCTCGCTTCCAAGGAAACAAAAGAGGACGAATAAGTCTCGACCCAAAAGGAGAAACTGAGATGCGACAGCCCAATTTTTCTATGCTTCATCATCGTGCAATATTGTACATAGTGAGAGAACCAGGAAGCCGGGGGCCCGCTTCCTCTTTTCTTCCAAAATATAGATCCAGCCATCAATGGTGCACTCTAGTGATAACGAGACGGCTCTTTATCAAGACCTGGACTATTTACAAGTCAAGGAGATGGAGTATGCCTTTTTTTTTTTTTTTTGGCTCTGGTTGGAAACTGTCTTAGTCAGTGGAGAGGGAGCACGAGAACTCCATGTAGTACTGTACTATGGTGGTGGTGGTGGGGAAGATGGGTTCTTTTTTTAAAGGCTTTGAGGTTTTATCAACACCCCACTTCCCTAACATTTCTTTACAGTCCATGTACCACAAATGAAAACACTGCAGGCCTGCAGAGGAGTCCCGGCCTCTTAAACGACACGTCCGACATCATTCGAGGACCTCAGTGAGTATTGTATTTGGCTGTGTAGCAAAGCGTGTTTGGGGGGGGGGGGTTGTCGCCTGTACGCACGTGGCCAACGTTTTGATTTGAGTGGCGTTGGATTGGAAGCTCCCCCTCTCAATGATCCACATCAGGACTGGAGAGGGCGAGAAGATCCTTAATCCGCGGCTAAAAGTAACGCGGTTTCTCTGAAATTAGTAAAAAAAAACAAAAGCACAGCATTGCAAACTCGGTCACTCATTTCTTGTTGAGGTGCGTTTCCCGTCGGTTGTCGGGCAAATCTGCCCGGAGGACAATAAAAGACAAACAAGTTGGATTGTGGCGCAGCAGAAAAGGGTGGCATGTGATGTCCTTCAGGGGCCTGACCTGGCTGTCACTTCCTGTCCCATTAGGGCCAGGACTTTGGCTGGGCAACAATCTTAAGAAAAAAAAAAACAACCGGCCATTTCAGAGGCATTCCTCGTGGATCACAAAAGCATAAAAAGATATCTCCCCATATAATTGTAAACTAGGCATTGTTTGTATTTAAAATAATTTGTTACAATGCCATGTAAGAAAGAAAAAAAGTATATCCTCAATGTATTTTCAAATTTACACGCATCTATTTACAGTTAACCTTTTCCTTATGTGCAGATGTTTTCTAATTCTACAGACAAAAAGAAACTGCAGGGTGTTGCAGCATCCATGTGATATGATAAAGAACCATTACACCACTCAATGCAGAACACTATCCAGTCGAGTTAATATAATCCAGCTAGACCTTTACGGTATTAAATGTCTGTGTGAGAGAATTATCTGACAAAGTCCAACTGGTTGCTGGAGGTGGTGGTGTACTGGGAGGGGCAGTATGCTGGGTTTCCTTCACATTTCACCCTGGAAAACCCAGCAGTAAAGGCAGGTATTTGATTCTTTGAGATATTAAGGAACACACATTTCAGAGCTAATATGAATGAAGGACATGGACGACAAAATGCATGAGTGAAAGTGTTTGGTGGCTTATAACAAGGACACACATTTTATGTTAGTGGGAGAAAAGACGGCATGATGGTCGGAAAGGCAGTGGGGCGGTGTGCATGATGCCACCGGTGTTGAGTTTATAGCAAACAAACTTGTTGTAAGAGAAGGCTCAGACTGCCGTGGTGGGGGGGGGGGTGTTTAACAAAAGGCCATGATGGATGGGATGGGGAAGGGGGCTGATGCCATGATGGGGGGAGTTTGCGATCCTCACATCTGGCTGCGTTGCCTCAGTTGCTGAGGAGCAGCTCTGTCGCCGTTTCCACGTCCCAGGATTTTGAAGACAAGGCCGCTATTACTGCGTTCTGTGAGCGAGGGGGACATGGGATTTTAAAAGTGATTGTAAGCAGTGTGTCATTTACAAGATCAAATTAATAAGAACTGAAAGGATGATTTTACAGTATGCTATTATGAACATCAAATATGTCGACCCTTTGAACCGATTATTTTTTTATTAATTTGTGCCTTAAGAGTAAATCCTTTGAGATTTACTTTAGTGAGATTCCACAAACCCCTGTTGCTCCAACAAGAATGCTGTCAACTAAGGCAGCAACTAACAATTTGGCTATGATGACTATTTTCATAATCGATTAATATTGCTGTCTATTTTTTATTTTTATTTTAATTTTAAGTTCCAGGAGTAATTGTCTTGTTTCGTCCAACCAGGGTTAAGAGGAAAAACTGAAAATATTTACTTTGACAGAAGCTGGAACAAGAAAATCTTTGCCACAATTGCTGAAGAAACCTACTCTAACGACTAATACATTGTCAAAATAGTTGCCCATTAATTGTCTGTCAATCAAGTGATCTATTAAATCAACTGTTTCAGTTGCACACCATGCTAACAATGTAAATGAATGTTATGTAGTGGTTCTTACCTTATCAAAGCCCATCGAACAGAGTTTGTCTATTTTGCGGTTGTAGTCAGCGCTGGAGACCGGAGCGCCTCCGTAGACGTGAGACCACAGCCTCGCGGTCTGTTTGTACATCTCTGGGTTCTGCTTGTACTGAGGATGCAGACAGACAGCCCAGTGAGGGTTAAATGTCAAATACAGTGAAATTACAGAGAGACAGGCCGTGTGTTTCCGAAAAACATCCTTCTCACCTGGTTGGCTACTACTGCGTCCTGCGGATCATCTGGTTCTGCTGCGGCAAGGAGAGCCTGTAGAGACAACAGCACCGTCCGCAAAGTCATGGCAGCTGCCCTGGGTGGGACGGATACATGGAGGGCGTTTGAGACGAGGGACACACACGGGAACATGCAGTAAAGTGAGTCGCAAGGTTCAGATGAGTCTCACTCACCACTGGTCTTTTAAAATGTCCAGACATATTGCTCCTGTCACAGAACTGATATTAGGGTGCCAGATCTTAGTGATGAAACGCACCTTAAAAGAGAGTTACCTGGATTAAAATGGTTTAACTATGGAGGGGGGGGGTTACAATGGGTACACTTACATGCACACTTGTATCATATTTGGGTGGATGTCATACCGTTTGTCACGGTAGCTGTTGCTTTAAGGCCACTGTGGGCAATGTTGCATATCAATGAGCACAACTAGTTTCTTGCAATATTGGGTTGTTATATGAATTGCATCAATGTGACAAAGTACATAATGTGTCAGGTATTTCATTCACTAGATTTAAACTTTATTGTAATATATATCTATCTATCTATAGATATCTAGATCTCTAGATCTAGATATCTATAGATA